TCGTGGTCACTTTGGGCAACTACGAGGTGACAGACGAGCTTAGCGCACCTGTCTCTCCCGGCCCGTGTAGGTGGCTACAGCGACTCCTTCGCGGGCATGGAGGACTTGCCCTCGGGAGTTAGGGATTTCGTCACCTAGTTAATCCGCGAGAAAGCCTGAATGCACGTTCTTTAGGGGCTACCTGGCTTTAGTGTAGCCTGCAGAAAACCTGCTCATGGAAAGGGACACACGGCCCTGGGGCGTCCCGCGCTACGGAGGTGGGCACGTGTGTTTGCTGACTGCAGAAAGAGACCAAAGCACAGCCACGCTTTGAAGAGGACTTCGTGCCCCAGGCCTCATCTGAGGTTTCCCGGGAGTAGACTCTGAGCCAAAGATTCGAGGACGGGGACCAGTGGTGTAGGGAGAGGCACGGCGGGACGTTAGCCCAGTCTCCCCGGTGAACAGCAGGAGCTTGGGGCATGCTGGGAGGCCCTCCCCGCCCAGGGCAGGGGTCTCTGGCTGGCATGGACTTTCGCCAGCGGCACGCGTGGGCTGGCAAGTGCTGGGCAAGGGGCTCTGCGGTCTGAGGGCACCCCTACCCCGCAGATACAGGTGCTGGCCGCTGGGAGTCAGCTGGCAGGCTCAGGCACTGGGGGACCCATGGGGAGACGGTAGGGTCCCCCCACCCTAGGCCTCCAGCCTGTTGACTTGGTGTCTCCCAAGGAGGTGCCAGGTCTGCAGAATGCGCCTGGGGAGGGGGCGGTGGATGGAGGGGACCGTTGGGACCCAGCCTCAGCAGGACAGAGAACGTAAGTGTGAAGATGCTTGTTGCTTCCTGGAATCTGGTTTCATGCTTGCCTTGGTTTTTCTTCTTCCCCAGAAGCATGATCTCGAGGACCCTCATCTGATGGATTGACTCTGCCATCGTGGAGAAATGTCTCAAAGTTGGGCCCGTTCCAGACTTCACACTCTGCTTCTAAATCACTGTCCCCAGGAAGAAGCCATCAGTGAGCATGCCAGCAGGGAAGCCTGGGGCACGAGGTCTCCGGCGCTGGGACCCGCTGTGCTGATTCACAAAGGGGGGCCTCGGGTTCTGTGCACACCGGGACTTGCACCACCACAGAGTCGCCTCTTCCGCGATCCCACCGGGGCCAGTCTCTCCCCGGGGCTCCCCTGGGACACGGTGCATGCCGGGTCATCGCCCTGCTGACTACAGGACATTGCCATTCTCCCTCCATCCCTCCACGTTCATCTCTGTGACCTCAGAACCCGGCACAGACCCTGGTATACAGCAGGTGCTCTCTAAATGCTGCAAGTGTGTTTGCACACAGAAGCCCAGAGTGTTCACATGTCTCTTTAGTTTTCCCTCCTCCCCGAGCTGCTGAGAGGCAGAAGGGATGCGTCCTGCCTCCGGGACCTTGGCGCCTGCCGAGGGGCTCCTGCAGAGCTGGGCTGACGCTCCATGTCCGCTTCCCCCTGGGGGCCCTTGGTGGCCGCCATGGACAGTCAGCTGCCATGGGAACCTCCTTTCTGCAGCCCCTCGCAGCTTCCCCTCCTGAGCCTCCCATGTCTCTCAGCTCCCAGGACTCAACCTTCAGCTTTCTGGGTATCCAACAACCGCAAAGTGTGTTCATAACTGCTCGGAGCGGTGGGTGTGCCCTGGCCACACGGAGACAGACGTTCGGAGCGAGAGGGGCCCTAGATTCCTTCCCGTGCCGGGGCCCCATCTCGGTCTCTCCTGCTTCGGGGTCCCGTGGATGAAGATCTCTACCAGCCCTCCGGCCACGCTCTTCCCAAGCCTTTTCTGCTCTCATCGAAACACCCCCACTCCTCCCAGTAAAGAATGGGAATTTCAAAGAAACCTAGAAGCACTCCAGTAATATGGAAGATCTTCTCAGAGGACATGTTCTGTATTCCGTCGGGTGACGGGTGGACCTAACCTGATGGGTTAGGTGTGGGCAGGGGTGGACAGAAGTTCCCGTCAGGAAGGAACCCACTGGGGACAGTGGTGGCCCAAGCAGGACCCGCGTCCTGTTTTTCGTTCTTGTCCCTGGGATCTCTGTGACCCTGCAGGGGACGTGGGGACAACGCCTCAATCCCCATTCTGGTTTATGCCAAACTCTGATTTTTCGGAGAGGTTGGCTTTGATCGCAATCCTGTTGCAGGCTTGCTATTTTTACAAGGTTCACCCTATTCTCTGTTATTTTTAAAAATAAAATTGTCAACAGCTTTTCCTTCCCCTGTAACATTTCCGCCACGAGCCAAGATCTTAATGAACCCTGCGTTCAGTGACAGGAAGGAGGAGACTAGGCCGGTGGGCAGGGTCGGCAGGCTGCGTGACGGCCTTCGGAGGAGAGGTCCGTGTGCCTGGGCGCGGCTCTCACCGCGGAGCGGCCTGTGACTCGGGGATGCTTAAAACGCATCCAGCTTGATGTCAACTCTGATGGTTTGAGAAAAGACCTATTTCTGGGCAGAAAAACACCTATTATTACCCAGCTTGGTAGAGGGAACTCTCGGGCTGTGAGTGATAGAATCCAAAGCCTAATCTACCCCCGGTCCTTGGTGGCCTGGCCAGGCCGTGCAGACCCGCGGGGAAGACCGGGCTCTCGGCCATGCTGCAGGGGTCCCGGGGCAGCGCCGTCCTGAGAGCCACGCTGTGCACTTCCAGCAAGTCCTTCACGATTCGAAGGACAGCTCCGATGACCTCCTTTCTTCGTTGAGGTGATTCCTGGGGCGGGAATAGTTCTGGGTCTCATTTTCGTCATTTACAGTAGAAGTGATGCCCCTTGCTCTGCTGACCTCACTCACTGGCTCCTTCCCTCCCTCCTCGTTGCAGTCAAGCTCCCTGAAAGCCGACTCTGAGCTGGCCCAGAGCGTGCAGACGGCCCGGGGGCTGCCGGCTGCCGGAAGGAGAGGAGTCGGTGGAAGGAAGGGAGAGGTCAGCAGGTGCAGGCTGGTGGCCGCCTCATGAGCAAAGGTGACTGGCGAGGTCTGGGTGTGCACAGCGCTGGCCCTGCATCCCTCCGCCTTGCCCGTGTCCTCCTTCACTCGCTGGGCTGCGGAAGCCCGTGGAGCCTGGGGCCTGGGAGGGACCCAGTGCCGCAGGGACCCAGCCGCGGTCTCAGCTGCCGGGGGCCCTTGTCTTGTGGTGGATGGCACAGGAAGGTGAGGAGGGACCTGAATGAGGACTAAACTCATTCCAGAGCGGGGAGGGGTTTATTTTCCCACGCGGGGATTGACATCACACGGCTGCCTACGTGGCTGATGCATTTACCTTCGAGGACAATGTCCGGGGGCAGGTGGACACAGGGTCGGTAGCAGGCGGGGGCTGCTTCTGAGGGAGATGAGCCGTTTTAAAGACAAGCCAGGAGAACCACAGGCTACGTGGAAGCTGGGAGGGCACTGACCATGACCCCAACTCCATATGTGGCTGTGCGCTTGTGGGGGGAGCCACCCCCGTCCCTCCACCCCTGCGGTGGGTCTTGGCCCACATGAAGATGAAGCATCACGTAGGACCACGAAGGAGGGGATGGTGACAGAATGGAGATACCAGCCAGAGGACCGGTTGCCAAGGTGGGCCGGCACCGAGACCACGTTGTGAGCCCTGCACCCGCCACAGGCTGCTTCCGCGGGTGCACATCGCAGACCCGGACCCTGAGCCAGTGGGGTCCTGGGGGGCAAGGCACCACGGCTGTCATTCTGCTTGGGGCTCACTCTTGTCCACGCTCTGGGGTCTCCTGACCTGGGAAGACCGGGCTGCAGTTCTTCCAGGCCCTCTTCAAAGCTCGGGATTTTGGGGTTCAGGGACACGGACCCAAGTGTAGAGGGGGCAGGGCCCTGCCTCGGTTGCCCTGTTGGGAGCCTTTCTGCATGTTTCCGGGCGTCTCTGTGCATCTGGGCCAAGGTCACGGAGGCTCCCTCCTTCCCTCCGTGGGCACGGCCATGGTCCCCAAGCTGAGGTCTGTCCGGCTCTGCCGTCCTTCTGCCTGTTGTCTCCAAAGCATTTTCACTTCTCATTTGAATGTGTTTCTGCTGAAACGTGCTCTCCCAGGGGAGGAGGGGAGGACGGCTGAGCCAGTGGAGTGTGGGGCCCATGGAGAAGGCCAGGATGGAGCTGGGGAAGGAGCTGGGGAGGTGAGCACCTGCCATCTGGGCAAGGTGGTTCCTGAGGGCATCAGCCAGGGCAAGGGGCAAAGACCACGTGCTGGAGTGTCTGAGTCTCTGAGTCCGGCCCGTGCCCACCCCAGCCCCTGCCGCCTGGTCTAAGGAGCCCGCTCCTCACTCACCCCTCCAGCTCTGCGTGTGTTGCCACCTGCCTCCCCCCACCCTGATGCCCCTGCGACTTCCCATCGGGGCCGGGCAGGCTCCACGTCCATCCCCACTGCCGGGCCCGCCCTGTCCCTGCCCAGAGTGCCAGAGGCCAGGACTGAGGAGTCCTCCACACCAATGTCATTCCCTGGGCTCTCCGGATGAGTTTTCCAGGCCGACGTGGGAGGCCACGGAAGACCTGCTCCCGGACAGCTCCGTCCAGGCCGGCCCCTTACCGTCTGCCTCCCTGGAGGCTGCACGCCGTGACCTGTTATTATCTCAGCCTCCGAAATGAGTGAGACCATCCACAGTTGTGCCACCTTACTCGGCGGGAGAGAAAAATGCTCAGAACCGAGTGATCGGATGACATGGTTCTGCATTTCTGTGGTTCTGCCCACTTCCCACGCCGTGAACGAGGTCGGAATCCTGCCCAGGGGCCCGTGGGGTGGTGGGGCATTGGCAGTGGGGGGAGGGGTCCAGAGCATCGGCGAGAGCAGGGTTCACCCAGCCTGAGCGCCCGTGTCCTGATGCTCTTCTCAGTCTGCCCCCCGGCTTCTGGAAGGAGGGGCCTGTCCTTTCAGCTGGCAGGCACGTCCCCCACCCCTGGGGGCCACAAGCCGACAGGGCTTCAGCAGGGCTCCACAGTGCGATTAGGAGCGACGGTTACTGAGGGCAAGAGAGGCCCTGGGCCCACCCAGAGGCCCCCTACTTACCTCTCATCATAGACCAGGATGGAAGAAGACTTGCCCAAGGTCAGTAGGCCGACCGGGAGCAGAGTCCAGGGCCTGGGGCTCCTGCCCACATGCTCAGCACCCCCAAGCAGCCCTCCTTGGGGGTCACGAGCTGGGGGGGTCCTTTTCCTTGGGCAGGCAGCCTGGTGCTCTAGTTCCAGTGAAGGAAAGCCCCACTTGGTACTTTTCTCTTCAAATGCAGTTCACAGAGGGGGACCACAACAGAGTCCCAGGGTCCCACGGCCCCGGTGCGCAGGCAAGCCGGCGGAGGGAGGCCTCCTGCCCGCATGGGAGTGAACTGAGGGAGTCATGGCCCCAGCAGGCGGCCCTCGCTGAGGACCCAGCAACCTTCAGCAGAGGCTTAACTGGGCGAATGGTGACAGAGCCGTGATCGGTTACCAGGGGCAACCATGGCATTTTAGGGACGTCATTCCTTGGTAGGGGTGGCCACTGGGGAGGGACGCTGGCCTGCTGTCAGGGCCCTGGGTGGGAGACAGCAGCCTGGGCCACAGGGCTGAGGATAGGGCTGAGTGCGCTGGTCCCGGACCCTACCCCAGCCCAGCAGGGCCCTGGCGCTCGCTCAGAGAGGCCTGCAGCTGGCGCTGCTCAGGTGGATGAGGTTTTGCATCCAGGCTTGGCCACGTGGTGGACAAACAAGGCCCTCGCCTCCCTGCGGCTGTCTCCTCTGAGCCACAGAGATACAGCGGTCTCTTTCTTGCTCCGTGAGGGGTGGGTGGTTCCCCAGGGACTCCACAGGGGGTGGCTGGGGAAGTCACCCCTCACCCCGAGTGAGTGCCCTCGGACCCCGCCACTCACTCACGGACTCATTCCTCCCCCAGGGGGTCACCTGTCAGAAAGACAGCCAAGCCAATCCTGTGGATTGGGCCACCTCAGACAGATGAGGTGGGCGCATCTGATGGGCAGGGGTTTCCAGTGCGCCTGGCATTGGCTGAGCTGGACAGGGAGGTGGGCTTCTTCCAGAAGTGGGAAGGTCTGGGACGTTCAGGAAAGCACGGCAGGGGGAGACCAGCGTGAGGAGACCCAGAGCTGCAAGGAGCGTGTGTGAAGACTGGTCTGAGCCTCCGGCGCCTCACACACCTGCCCCCAGGCCCCGAGCGCTGCCCCATCACCGTCCCTCACCCCCCAGAACCACGGCTGCCCCAGCCCTTCCCAGGGTGAGAGCCCAGCTCTGGTCTGGCCTCCATCTGAGCTCCTTCGGGGTGGGTGGCTCGTCCCACCCCCGATGAAGAGCAGGGGTTAGGGTCACCGCAGGGTGTGGGACACAAATTCCACAGTTGCTCTTAAGGGAGAATCAGCCCACGGCCAGACCCTGGCCAAGGAGGTGATGGACGAGCTGCTTACGGCTCCTCCCAGCCGGTCAGGAGCCACACACGGTGAGCCCAGCCGGGCCGGGCCGGGGCGGATGGAGGACGGCTGCTGGGGGGTTCTGGGAGGGCCACCACCCCCTGGTTTCCTGTGAGAAGGCACGCAGGCTGTCCAGGGACCTGAAAGTGTGTGTGTGTGGCGGGGGGGGGGCTCCATGTAGCAAATACGTCCACCGCCTGGTGTGTGTCTCTCCCTGATGTCTTAGAGCTCCTCCGACCTGGTGCCCCCATCCGAGCGCACTTTCCACACTCCAGCTGGCCCGGTCTTTGCGGCCAGCCCCCTGGGCACATCACCCCTGCATGCCCAAGGCAGAGCCCCGGGGTCATCCGCCACCTCCCCTCTCCTGCCCCTCCACCCACACCCCCTGGATCACCTCTCCTCCTGCTTTATAGCACGGCGGCCTGTTCCGCCCCCTTTTCCGTTCTCCCCTGCTATGGTGCAGGCAACCTCCCGCTGACAGCTGCAGCCTCCTCGGCCCCCCGGGGCTCCAGCACGTGCTCCCCCAGATCGGATGAGGTCGCACCCCAGCTCCAGCTCCCAGGTGACTCCAGACCAAGCCCGAGCCCCAGGAGTCCATCAGTGTCCTTCCTGACTTGACCCACTGGAGCCACCTCCCCAGCCAGCCACCCTCCCTCAGCCCCCGTCCCCTCCGGCGTCTGCTGCGTGGACCGGCGGAGTAGTTCTAGTGCACGTCTGCTAAACAGACGCAGAAGCGGAGGACCCGGGACGCTCTCCCGCCGTGGGGCAGGCACGAGGTGCCGGGGCGCTAGGAGTGGCTGGAGCTGGGCTTCTTCTCCAAGTGGTTTGGGATTCGCCAAGATCCCGCCAGGCCTGGAGGCTTTCAGGTGCTCACCTCCCTGACCGGCCATGGGGCAGCTGGACAGGTGTCATGGCCACAGGCTTGGGAATGGAAAGAGGAGGCGGAGACCGTGGACAGCACCCGGGGGACACACAGACCGTCCCCAGTGTTACCACCGCGTGACCCCAGGCTCTGCCTCGGGCAGGCTGCTCTGCCCCCCACCCCAGTTACAGCACCAGCACCCCCTCACCCTGTCCCGCCTCTCTTCACCCTCTGCCTCCTGACTCTGGGGTTTCCTAAGAAAATTAAAAAGAGAATTTCCATATGGCCCAGCAATTCCATTTTTAGATGTGTCGCCAGAAACAACAGAAAAGTGCTCGTCCATTATGTTCACAGACATGTTGTTCACAGTAGCCAAAAAGTGGACACCATCCACATGTCCATCAACAAACGACGGGAGAAGCGAAACGCAGTCCGTCTGTGCATGGAATATTGCTCAGCTCTGAAAAGGAAGGAAGGGTGAGCCTGGGGGATGCTGGGCTCCGGGGAATACGCCAGCCACAGAGGGACAAATCCTGCACAGTCCCATTTCACAGGAGGTCCCTGCAGGAGCGGTAGAGTACCATCAGGGTAACCGCTGGTGCAGGCGGGGTAGGAGCGGGGCTGGCCACTCCAGGCTCCATTCTGCATGCACGGGACTCTGGAGGCTGTGGGTCTCCTCCCTGCTCTCAGGATGGTTGCCTTGCTCAGAGCGTTTCCCCAGCTGGGTCTGTAATCCCAAACCATGGATGATGGACCATTGGCATCAACTGGCTGGTATCCTTGAAAATCAAGCCAAGAGGAGTTTCTCCATCACCCTCCTTCTCTGGGATTCACCATGTCTGCAGAGACCTTGACAACACAAGGACTGGGTTCTGGAAAGACCATTTTCCTGGGATAATAGTTGTAGGGACCAAAGCTTGACTTGATGTCTAAGTCTGGTGGGTTTGAGGCTAGTGCTGTATTATCTTGTCTGTCCCATTAACAATGGGGATCTCAAGACACTAAGCTATTGAGACACTTCCTTGAGCTGCTACAGCTTCTGAGTGAGAGAAGCTCAGCCCTGGCTCTAGCTGGGCACTGATGGAGCCCTGATCCCACCCTGGCATTGCGAAGCCACCTGGCTGAGAATTAGGAGAAATAGGAGACAGAGATGATGATGATTCTCTGAATATTTATTAACACAGACAAACAGACTCTGATCCCTTTGGGCTTAAGTGTTTTTGAAACTTCACTTACAAAGACATTCACTCTTTAGAATTCAATCCCTGCCCTAAGATGTTCACAATTGTGAGAAGTTCATATTCGTAGGTGTGTCTCACTGCTTTTGCCACTTCATTGTAAAGTATCTGTGTTTATGCTTCGCATTTTGCTACTGAAACATTGTAACTTTAAGTTCATTGCAGGAGCTCCAGTGGGTTGTATTGGACAGCATGGCAGGAGGTCACTGGGGATGGGATGTTAGCTGTTTACTGCTGCATAACAGATGGCCTGACGTCTAGAGGCTTCCAGCAACCCTTCATCGTCATATGTCTGTGAGTCAGGAAGCCAGGTGTGGCTTGGCTGGAGCTTTAGGCGCAAGGTGTCCTGTGAATTTATGCTCCTGCCTGTGGCTGTGGTCTCATCTGAAGGCTTGGTGGGACGGCATGGGCTTCCAGGCTCTCTCCCTGTGGATGGTAGGATTCAGTTCTTCGGGGCTGTCCACTGGAAGAGCTCTATTCTCCTCCAGTTGTTTGCTGAAGGTCCCTCGGTTCCTTCCAATGTGGGTCTCTGCAGAGGGCAGCTCAGAGAAGTAAGTGAGAGAACAGGCAGCTCCCATGATGGAAGATGCACTCCTTTTGTAGCCCAACCTCAGAAGTGACGCCTGAACCTTTTGCTATATCCTCTTTGTTAGAAGCATGTTATTAGGTCTAGCACACACTTATGGTGGGAGAGAACAGGAGGGCATGGGAACCAGGAGGGAGGGTAACTGGAAGCCATCCCAGAAGCTGTCCACCACAGATAAGGAGTAGCCTGGAGGGGGTATTCTCAGCTTTGGGTAGTCTTTGCATAGATTTGATCTTATGCAAATTTGATCTCCTGAAATGATTCAGAAGCTTCTGGGGGGAAACCCACACTGACTACCAGTAGCCCTCAGGGTGATATAAACAGCCAGAGGTTGGCTCTGGTGGAGTGGACTTAGGAATATGTTAGTAAGATTGTCTTGGCTTATGGCGGGCTGAACGGAAGTCCCAGAATGTTGAAAGGCACTAAAAAGCTGAGAACATTGAAGACAATGCTATTCCCCCTCATGATGCTTCCTTCCCATCCTGCACCAGCTCCATCTGGGTTCCTACCTGGGTGGTGAGTGCAGAAGGAGAAATGGGGCATGCTTTTCTAGCTATCAAGTGCTATGTAACAAACCACTCAACACTTAGCAGCTAAAACCAGAATAATGCTTCACTGTCCCTCATGGCTCCTGTTAGCCAGGGATCCTGGGAGGGCTTGCCTGAGCAGATCTCACCTGGATCTTCCCCACAGCTGAAGTCGTGTGTTGGTCAGGCTACTGTTACCTGTTGGCTTGGCTGGTGCTGTCATGTGGGAGTTCCTGGTGCTTCCAGAACATGGGCTGAGCACCTAGGGTGGATGGGATGGCAGCAGTGTTGGGAGCCAGGGGATAAGGCAGAAACAGGCCCTTCATATGGGGTCCATGGCTTTGGGGGCAAGAGATCAAATCACCCCAAAGGGAACAGATGTGTTGTAACTGAAAACAAGCCTGAAGGACAGAACTGGAGGGTCAGATCCACCACATGTGTGTGCATGCATGTGTGTGTGTGGAAGGGGACGTGCAATCACAGAAGGGTTTTCTGAACATATGATACTTAAGCCAAAATGTGAACATGGGGAGTTAACCAGAGCCAAGTGGGTGGAAGAATATTCCAGAAGGGGGCTGGTGTGCACAGGGGAGAGCAGTGGGGCCAAGGCACTGCAGGAATGAGCCGAGAAGATTCACTTGGAGCCAGGAGTCGGTCAGGTATGCAGGAGGGAAGACGAAAGAGGGTACCTGCATCACAGTGACCTGATTCTGACAACTGTGTGGAGGTCCGGTGAATTCTAAGCTAGTAAAGGAGGAAAGGTGGGCAGCAGGTG